GATTTGGGTTAGATAGCTAGAAGATATCTTTTGTAATGAAGACAGAAAAGCATTGGAAAAGGTTGTCCAGAGAAACTGAAGATGACCTATCCCTAGATTTCACAGAATCACAGAATTACTCAGGTTGGAAGGGACCTCAAGGATCATCAAGTCCAACCGCAGCTTAACCATAGTGCCCTAACTCTAACAACCCTCGCTAAATCATATCTCCGAGCACCACATCCAAACAGCTCTTAAACACATCCAGGGACGGTGACTCAACTACCTCCCTGGGGAGCCTATTCCAATGTTTAACCACCCTTTCTGTAAAGAAGTGTTTCCTAACGTCCAACCTAAGCTTACCTTGGCACAACATGAGGCCATTTCCTCTCATCTTGTCACCTGTCATCAGTGAGAAGAGACCTACCTGCTCTCCCTGTAAGCACCTTTCAGGTATTGGAAGAGAGTAATAAGGTCACCCCTCAGCCGCCTCATCCCCATACTAAACAGCCCCAGCTCCCTCAGCCTCTCCTCATAGGGCTGATTTTCCAAGCCCTTCACTAGCCTCTTTGCCCTTCTCTGGACCTGCTCCAGTACCTCCACGTCCTTTTTATACTGAGGTGCAGTACTCAAGGTGAGGCCTCACCAATGCCGAGTACAGGGGCAGGATGACTTCCCTAGTTCTGCTCACCACACCATTCCCGATACAAGCCAGGATGCCATTGGCCTTCTTGGTCACCAGGGCACGCTGCTGGCTCATGTTAGCCGACTGTCCATCAGAACACGAAGGTCCGTTTCCATCAGGCAGCTTTCCAGCCACGCCTCCCCAAGCCTGTAGGATTGTTGGGGTTGTTGTGACCAAAATGCAGGACCCAACACTTGGCCCTATTGAAACTCATGCCATTAACTTTGGCCTATCGATCCAGTCTGTCCAGGTCCCTCTGCAATGCCCTTCTCCCCTCTGGCAGATCAACACTCCCTCCCAGCTTGGTGTTATCTGCAAACTTACTGAGGGTGCACTCAATCCCCTCATCAAGATGTTAAACAGAAGTGGCCCCAGTACTGAGCCTTGGGGGACACCGTTTGTGACCGGCCACCAACTAGATTCAACTCCATTGACTACGACTCTTTGGGCCCTGCCATCCAGCCAGTGCTTCACACAGCAGAGCGTACACCCATCCAGACCATAGGCAGCCAGCTTCACCACAAGAATGTTATAGGGGATAGTGTCAAAGGCCTTACTGAAGTCCAGGTAGACCACATCAGCGATCTGTGCAAGGCCACACCCGATGGGGCTTTGGGCAACTGGTCTAGTGAAAGGTGGTCTCACCCATGACAGGGTTTGGAACTGCATTGACTTTGAGGTATCTTCCAACCCAAATCATTCTACAGTTCTGTGATAAATCTTTATTAATTTACTTCACCCAAACAGTTGATCTTTCTGCTCATTATATGCTAAAGATATAAATACGGAAAAAAAAAAATCCAGAAACTCATCTATTTCTAAGGCAGTGCTGTTAAGCGGACTTTGACATGTTTAAAAGTTCAGATTTCAGGGTGAAAAATTTTGGTGCCATTCAATAATCAATTAATTTTGTAGAATTAGCTAATTAGAAATCCAATTCAAATGCTACTGAGTATGTAATTCTGTCCAATAAGATCACATCAAGTGGGTAGGATTGAGCTGATGTTCTTGTTTATTCAGGAGTTTGGGACCGTGCAAAGCTTGAGACCTTGGAATATCACCAGCATGGCAAACACAGGCATCAAATCCACTTAAAGGCTGAGGAACCCCTCAGGGTAGAAAAGGATGGCTCCCCATGCTTCCGCAGCTGAATCAAGTTCTGTTTTGCCACAGAATGAAAAACAGATTCTGCACAACTGGAGCAGCTTTTTTTGTTGTTGTTTCTGAATATTTTCTCTCTAATTTCCATAGGAAGTGGTTGTGAAATGGAGACTATATTTCTTTCAGTTTGCAGTTTTGTCCTACATCTGTTACTTTTTCCTGTTATTTGAATTTTCCTTCTGGGATGAAAAGAAAAGATAAAGAAAGAAAGAAACTAAGAGTAAATAAAATCACAACCTGTGGTGGTAAATAATTTGGACAGGTAAACTGTGTCATCATGTCAGAGCCATTTTGTGCTATTCTCATGTTTTGCAAAGAGTAGGTGACAGAAAACTTCCGTTGTCTACTACACTGTTGCCCAGAGGGCAGGGGATAAATTCTGCAGTCATTTAAATCTACAAATGGTTCATAAGGCCAGACTATCATCCTACTCCTGAGAAAATTTTTTACATTGTCAGAAGGATAGTTTGAATGCAAATGTTCTCATCACTGGGATCTGCCATTTTATGCTATTTTATTATCACCTATATGTGATGTATAATTACAGTTCTATCCTCATAGTGACAGTGGAATGAAACTTCAGTGTTTCCTTTTCAAAATAATAAATACTAGCTTTTGTTTCTCTAGAGCTACATTGCATGGAGTACATTTATCATGTGCAGTGTTGCACATGTGAGGCTCTAAAGCTAAGAGGCTGTTATTTGTGATCCATTCTACAGGCATACAGGAAATAAAATGATTAGAATGTTGCACATTTGTTGTTAAAACTAATTAAAATTAATTCTCATACTTTATTTTCTTCTTTATTGGGAATTTAATTTTGGAAATTGTGCATGAATTTTAAGCCTATATAGAATATTTTTGTTATCCAGATAATTTCTGTGAAATATCTAAAGCTAAAAGTGCAAGAACCACATCAGCAGCCCATGGCTGTCTTTTTCTTCACATAAGTAATTTTTTTTCTGTGATCCTGTATGGTTAATAATCCTGAGCTCTGAGGGAAGTATCATTATAGAAAATAGAGGGAAAAAAGTTCTATTGGAATAACAATTGCAAAAGAAACACAGATGTTAACATGTTTTATAATCTAATACTGTAATATAGGCCAATCTGTGGTCATACGTAAAAGCCTTAAAATGCTCCTTTGTTGAGCATCCTTACAGATATGCCTTTCCTTCCTGTCTTCTCCTACAGCTTTTTGTGTTTCTTTTTTATTTCTTTCCTTTCCAGTGATTTTCTTGGGATTATATTGCATCAACTCATTCTCAAGCGAAAAAGCCACACCTACTCCAGGAAGAAATTCAGTAGGATACTAAGCCATGTACAGACAGATCATAATACTGATAAAGATCCATACTAAATTTGAAGACACTTGCTTGAATTTTTTGCCCAGAACATGAGTTTTCTGTTGTTTTCCCTTTCATTTTGAAAAGTTCTCTATGCCTTGTTTACATATACAAAGCAACATGATGAGTTCTTTCTCCTCTAGGCTCTCTTTCTTCCTATGATTCCTACATTGCCTTAGCACAGACTTAGTTTATCTGCCCTTGTTTTGAAATTTCTGAGAGTAGTCACATAGTATACCCTGGAGGATGTGTTTGAGATCTGATGGCAGCCAGAATTCCACCATGTCCTGCATCTTTTAGTCAAACATTTTAAATCCTAGTTATCTGGTGAATTACATATCTGGCTAAAATAGAAAATGAAATGAAACAAGGTATTGGGCTTTGAATTTTGTATAAATGAATTCTATCTCTTGGATAGAAATGGGAACTTTTTTAAAAGACGTTTTTGCTCTTTATGGGAGCTTCTATAAAGTGAGTGAGTTGCTGCATATAAATTTCTATTGATTTTAAAATACCCAACTTGTAGTTACAGCATAAAGCCAGGACTCTGGAAAGGTCTTTCATTCTATTGAGATTTTATATTAATTATTTACAGTTTTGATGTGAGACAGAAGTTAGCACAGACTTGAGCTAATAGAGTTGCTGCCTCCAGTAATAAATTTTACCATTTTTTAGTCTACAATATGGCTATACTCCCCTAAAATAGGTTTAATTTTAAATCAAGAGTATTATGACAAAATTAATGATAGCAAGAAGTAAAAATGAAAAACTGAAAGAGATGAGGAGGATGGTGGGAGGACAAGAAGCGTGTGGCCTTAGTCCCCCCTTCTAGCTGCACCATGGAGACCCCAATCAGTGGCATGAGCTTGTTGTTACTGAAATGGAGTTAACTAAGAACACTTCCGCTCCTGTCATTATTTTATTTATATCATTTAAGGAAATACTTAGTTCTTATGCTGTTCCTTAGTTATCTTCAGATTAAACTGGTCATTCAACTTAATTTTAACTCAGCTTTTGAGTTAAAATCAGTTTTCAGGAAGGGCTTTTGACTGTCACTTGACAAATTTTGGTTACCTATATTGCATATCCTATATAAAAGTGAGTGAAAGACGGAATCTGGAAGACTAGAAGAGGTACGCATTGCAGAAGTGAACAAAGTAGAGAAATTGGTGGTAAGAAAAGGTTATAGAATAAAACGTATGAGTTAAAAAATGCTTGTAACTTAGAAAACAAAGCTAGGTTTCCTCTCTTCTGCAAGTAAATGCAATTTCAGGATTACTTCAGAGGATAACAGACTATAAGTAAAATTCATAAGAGCAGATAACAGTCTTATATGGGAGGATAGTTGCACTTCATTACCTTATTTATGTTAAAAAAATATTCAGGAAACAATTTACCAAGCTTAAGATTGTCGATGCATACTACTACTGATACAGTGATGCATATGCAATCACCTAGATTGTGAAAAAGGTTGGAGCTAAAAAAAAAATACTGTGCAGCAGATTCATTTCAGAAGGTGTCATGTATAAGCTGAAGTCAAATAGGTCAATCTCCTCTTGCACTGGAAGGTTTACTTTTCATGAGCAGCAATATTGCTAAGTAAACCCTAGAGGAAAAAAAAATGGATTTATTTCTTCCATATTCAGTTGTTGAGCTAGCAAACTACCCCTCCTTATTATTACCATTGTTATGATGTTTAGAAAAAAATAAAAACAGCTAAAAAATGTGCTACTTGGGATCTGGGAAGGACAAAAATGCTTCTGTATTTCTATGCCTTTTACTGGGGCATGCTTTTCTGACTGTTTTTGCTCTGGCTGTTGTGTAGGTGGTTGACCAGATTGACACGTTGACATCTGACCTGCAGCTGGAGGATGAGATGACGGACAGTTCCAAAACAGACACACTCAACAGCAGCTCCAGCAGCACAACAGCTTCTAGCCTGGAGAAGGTGAAGGTGCGGGGCAGTATTCCGCTCATCAAGCCCCCTGTGCATCCCTCTGCTATCCTCACTGTGCTGCGGAAGCCAAATCCCCCTCCACCCCCACCACGACTGACACCTGTCAAGTGTGACAAGCCCCTGAGGCCACCTCCTTTGGCCAACCCTGTCAAGACTAATGGTACCCTGCTGCGAAATGGACCCAGCCGTATCCCAAATGGGGATTTGTGCTGTATGCCAAACAGTAATTTGGACAGTGTTGTGATTCCACCTCTAATGCATAGACCTGAGAAAGAGCGATGTCCTCAGGCAGGAGCAAGGGAACGGGTACGATTTAGTGAAAAAGTGCAGTATCACGGCTATTGCCCAGACTGTGACATTCGGTATAACATTAAAAACAGGGAGGTGCACTTGCACAGCGAGCCTGCCCATCTTCTGGAAGTGCTGCCTCATCAGTGCCCTCCTCTGCCACCCCCACCGCCTCCGCTGCCTCCGTTTCCTCTAGAAAATGGAGGGCTGGGGATAAGTTCCAGTAACAGCTTTCCTCCTCCGAGACCTGTTACTGTGCCTCCACAAACTGCACCAAAACCCCAGAAGACCATCTTGAGGAAGTCCACCACTACAACAGTGTGATGTATGCCACTTGAAAAAAACTTTTTTTCATATATATAAACATAAATAGATAATGAGCACTTTCTGCTTGAGCAATAAGAAGACCCAGTGTATTACTCCCAGTGTATCCAGTGAAGTGGCATAAAAGTCACACGGTAAGTAAAGAAGAATTTTTTTTTGGTCACCATAAAATGCCTTTATGGCTGAAAAGGATGCTGAAAAATACACATGATTTAGCTGACGGGTTGTAAACTTCTGTTGCAGTCTCCTATCTGCAGCATTGTTTAAAAGAAAGTGGAAAGAAAGATCAGTTTGAAAGTACAAAGTGCTGATTCCTGTTAGATTTTCGTCTGTCCAACTTAATGGAGTAATCATTGCTGCTGAATTCTGGGAAGCTTTCTGTTTCCAGTCACTGTGCTTTAAAATGCCATTTGACAAAACAAAGTGGAGGTGGCAGATAACACTTTTGACTGAATTCTAGCAAAGACATTTTTCTCTGCCTCGTTCTTGAGTGAAGGCCTTGTGCACGGAACCATTCAATAGGAACCAATCCGGACTTTCAGGCAGCTTGACCTTTGGTGAGAGAGTAAAGAAGTAATTGAAAGGTATGTCAACATGTCTTTGCAGAGCAAAATCTTGCAATGTGTTTCTCACTTGCTCAGTGTGCCACAGCCAGGGAGAATGAGAGAGCTTTCAGGAGAGCAGGGACTGTCCCATTCAGTTCCCCTGTGCTTCCTCTGCTTCCATCTGCAGAGCAGTGGTAATATTTTATCTTGCTCGTGACCTGCACTTTTTACAAAGCTTTTGTCTGGTTTTTGAAGGCAAAGAAAATTTTGCCTAAGGTCTTCAGAGACATCCACTTAATTCATTTAAAGAGCTTTGAAGTTGAAAAGCTCTATACCAATTACAAAGCATTAACATGCAAAACAAGATATTTACATGCTATCACATTTTGATGGTGAACCCAATTAATATCCTCACTAGATGAAAAGAGAATTCCTCAGTGTTTTAAATTATTTTATGAAAGGATGTTTTGTTCTCACAAAGAGAATAGTTGGTACCTGAAGTTAAAATCCATCTAATCAGTGAAGAAGATGTGATTATAAATCTGTTATGTACAAAATTGTGCCTAATTAAGCTCTCATAATGGCCTGGCAGCAGATGCTGTATAAAAGCACTATGTTTTTTTTCCACTGAATTATAAAACATACTCTATGTCTTCATCCACGTTAGCTTCTCTAGGGTCTTATGAAAGAAAACAGATTGTTTTTGTTTTTTTTTTTAAATTTAAATTTCCATTTCAACGCAGTAATAATAATTTAAAGTAATAAAGAATAAGAATTTAAACTAAAAGCCCATCATCAAGCCATGCATAGTTTCCCTGTATACAGATGGTAGTACTTTTACAGTATTTATAATAGGAATAATCAGAACAAAAATGTTAACAGATTGAAACCTGTTGAAAACTACAGTGAACACATCGTGTGTTGCGTGGATACTCATCTAGGGTCTGACACTGCAAGTTACATTACTTGTATAGAAATGGCAGAACAAGGGCATCATCGCAAGTGCTTAATCATGAATTCATCAAGTGTTCCCCGCATGCTTTTCATGATGCACTTTGCATTCTGCATTGTTTGACAACATTTTATATCATGGGAACTGTTGCCAAGTAGAGCCCAGGCAGGAGAAAGCAGCAACTAGCTCTGTGTGTGCTTGAGACCTGTACTGCCTGGGTGACAGTTCTGCTGCATGGATAAAGTTCATGCCTTCCCTGGCACATTGGAATATTGCATTTAAAAGACATCAAAACAGTGTGGGGAATTACCCATGTACCTATATTGCTATGGTTTCTACTCTGAAAAGAAATTGGGCTGTTGTGACGCCTTTATCATTTCTGTGGGGAGCATATGCCAAATCTTTTAAGTAGTTTAACAACTTTTTCCCTCTTAAAAGAACTATCTCATACAAGAACTTATTGGATAATTCCAGTCAAGCATTCCATATTTAATATAAAATATTTGTATTGTGTTAAATTTAGGAAAATAACAAAGTAGTCATAGGAGAGACGGTAAGTTGCACATCCTATTTCACTTGTCTCAGTGTTTCACAGTGTGGACTGATCTCTGATGGCCATGCAAGTATTTCTGTTCTAAGATATGTCCTGTGCTCATCAGAAACATACTGGCATCTCCAGGTTAGATACTGTGCTGTATGGCTATGCCTTGATGTACATCTGTATAATCAATGAAAATTATATAAAGGAATATTATATAATCAAATAATATTAAGATGTTACAATAATGAAATAAGCAAGAGAGGTAGGCATAGTGAGACAAAGAGAATAAATAGGATGCTTACCTGTGTCATCAGCTTGCTCAGGAAAGACCAGTGGAGTGGATCTTCTGAAGAGAGAGAGATCCTTCCCCACTGGTAGTCAGCTCTTAAATGGGTCTAGGAGAGGTGGAGCCAGGCTCCACCCCTTCCTGCAGCACAGGTGAATTGCTTTCACCTGTGCTCCCAGGGCTGACTCATTGCTCGCCTTAGGTGATTAATCAGAGGTTCAGGCCCTGACTCAGCAGTTTCCATACATACATCCAAGTGTCTGTTTCATTGCATTGTTTTACATTACACTCCTCAGGTAAGGAAATCTTAAGAGACATCTAATTTTCAGCACTGGGTTTTGTTTTCTGCTAGTTAAATTGAAGTATTCCATGATTAGTTTTGGGCTCCTGCATGTTTCATCTCTCACCTTGTCCCTTCTTTATTTCCCCAAGCCACCTTCGTACCCTTTTGCAAACTACTACCCTTATTTGTGCATTTTAACAGAAAAAAAAGAGTACTGTGCTAAACTCAGTATGCAGCTTTTCAAATGCAAAGCTGCTTGTGGCCAGGAGGAAAAAAAAAAAAAAAAAAGCTTTAAATTGTGTTTTTTCTGCAATGTTTGCTAATCCAGTCTTTCTTTAATGAACCAACATGTTGCCTTTTTTCTGTTCATCATGTTACTAGAGATGAACCAATTCTTCTGTTCTAATGCAAACCTCTCTGGCCTTTGTCCTACTGTGAAATATTTTTATCAGCAGAAAAATTTGATCACATTAACATGGCAGAATAAAATACAGGGGAAAGCGGGTAAACTTGCAAAGCGTGGGCATCAATGTTTAACTTATGCAGCACTTATGCAGCAGAGTTCTGGAGAACTCTGATTAAAACAATGTAAGAAATAATGCAATACTTCATACATCTAGAAGTGTTTTTTGCATTTTAATTAGGAATGCAATCTCTGTGAACCATTTTTAAACACCTGTAACATATTGTGTTTCAGTCTTGAGGGAATCACAATAAAGCAACGAGAGCCAGACAGCAGTTACGTGTCCTAGAAACTTAAAGGCAATATTTTGGGGGTGATATTTAATGTTCTGCAGAGATGGTAGTAGCTTGTATTTCTGCAATGAAATTTATGTCTTATGTACTGAAGAACTGAAAGTCCAGTAACAGTATTCAGATCTTTAATGCCATGTTTACCACCATTTCAGAGTGCTGCTCTGCTTTGATTCCCTGGTGGTATTTTGAACCCTGAATTGTCTGGTTCTAGATATCTCAGAGGCAAACAGAATGAGAAAGTGTTTTCTATCAATTTAATTAAGATAGCAACTTAGAGAGATGGAAATAAGCAGTGTAAATGGCTTAATTTGTAATAATAGAAATTATTAACAAGCAGCTAGCACAGGGATGCTTAGGAAGAAGGGAACATCAGGACACTAAAATTAAGGACACAATCCATTTTAAGGCTCTCACGTAAGACTCTTAAAAAAGACTGCTGATCTTTTTATTACTTTATAAATATTTCTGTCTTCTCTCTTTCTTCCGGAGTTGTTGCCCCCTTCATCACAGATTTGCTGATCGTTGTCCACTGTCCACAGAAACAAGAAATACCTCCAAGGCTTCAGCCTCCTTTCCTGGTGATAAAATCAATATTTTATTTGAAATGTTACGTGCAGTAGAGTACAGCTCTTGTTACTTCCTTCACATGACTTGATTATTGGTTTTGAAGCAAGCAGATTACAGTGTGAATTCTTTAATTACCAGAGGGAGTTGTGTATGCCCTCTAGACCTCCTCAAATCTCCTCCTTACCATGTTCTAATGATGGCTTTTATTTCAGTGAAACCACAAGCAGTAATTTAACATGAGGAGATATGACCATGCTGTGATTTTTGCCTCTCTCTGCTGATGTGCTTTTAAAGTAGGTATGAATATTGGCATATATTTTTTCAGAGGTTGCATTTCTCATTCCCAGTTTTTGTCCATGTTGTGTTCCACACTTGGTTGGAGAGCACATGAAAAATATTTAACCATTGGTAAAACAAACACTGATATAGTTTGGAGTTGTATTTCTATTTTTCAAACTAGTAGTAATATTTGAAGCATCAAGCTTAGAATGAGGTAAGATTGGTTACCTGAGACAGGCACAAAGGCATGCAGTGGAAGATATGCACATGGTCAACTATGCTAAGCACAATATTTGGAACACCAGCTTAGAAGAATGCTTGGCACCTCCTGTATAACCACTGAGTATTTTTAGGGTAGTGTGTGGCACACTGCACCACAGCCTGCCAGTCACTGTACAAGTGCTGGCATTGCTGGTGCAGGATGTTGCAGTGCACTGCACTGTATGCAGACCGCACATCACCCTCATCTCTGTTGAGCAGCAATTGTGTGATAATGTGCTTGCATTGAGCTTTTTTGGGAAGAATTAACAGAAACTTTACTGCCTGTTTTGTGGTGGAGAAAAGCCCTGAGGTGGAAAGCAATCTTCCCCAGATTAAGTTTTACAAAATACCTGCACCATTCCATTTGTGGGGAGCTCAGCAAAGTTTGTGCAAGTTGCTGACGTTCCTGATCTGAAGAGATTTGATATATGATTAGTGCTCTTATTATCTGATGCAGAAGCTGCTGGGGTAAATGACCAAACATCCTGCTGCTCGCATCAGCCTCTGCAGCTCCCTTTTTGTTTCCACAGTTGTTCATGAGTAGCAGTCCCAGTGCTGTGGGGCCTGTCAGGTTTTGTGAGGAAGCTGCAGCACACACACAGCTGTCATTTAGGCTGTGTTATCCTAGTTCTGTTATCAGCTGTGGCTGTGGCTGTGTTAGCTTGCTCTGTGTTTTCACAGAATCATTATGGTTGGAAAAGACCTCTAAGATTAAGTCTGACTGCCAACCCATCACAATCATGTCCATTAAACCTCAGTGCTACATCTCCACTTTATTTGAAACCTCCAAGAGCAGTGACCCCACCACTTCTATGGGAACTTTCTGTTCCAGTGACTAAGTTTGCTATTATTTCTGAGAAGAAATTATTCCTAATATCCTACTTGAACCTCACCTGGCACAGATTGAGGCTGTTATTTCTCATTCTATTGTTGTTACCCTGGAGAAGAGGCTGATCCCTACCTCACCACAGCCTTCTTTTAGAGGATTATGGGAAGCAATGTGATCTCCCTGAGCCTCCTCTGCTCCAGACTGAACAATCCCAATCCCCTCACAGCTTCATTGCCCTGCTCTGGACACGCTCGAGACTCTCAATCTCTTTCTTGTGGTGAGGGGCACAAACCTGAACGCAGTACTTGGGTGCAGCCTCACCAGTGCCAGGTACAGAGGGACAGTCACTTCCCTGCTCCTGCTGGACTTTTGCTTTTACAGTGCTGAATCTTTGGGAAATTTCAAGGCAGTTTTGTTACTGCTGAGATAAACAGTTTCCTGTCAGGTTATAAAAACTA